TAATAAAGCTGTAGGAATATTAGAGAGAGCAAAGAAAGGAGGAGAAAGAGAAAAGACAGTGAGGAATATATAATATATATTATATTATCTATATGGAGAGAGAGAGAGAGAGAGAGAGAGAGAGAGAGAGAGACTGAAGAACAGAGAAAAAGACAAGAGTCAGAGATAGACAGGAAGACACAAATAAGGAGAGGGAGAGAGAGAGGGAGAGAAAATGCTAATGCATCTTGTTGGCCAGCTATGGTAAGCCTTCTCCCTCCCAGCACAGGTTTTGCATGTAAACATCCCCGGCCAGTGCACACATGCGCACAGCTCTCACTATTTCACACCTTCTGTCCTGGCTGCCGGCTCTGACTGTGGATGGCACACTGGGCACTCACAGATCTCCTGTTCCTCCTGTGTCTCCCTAGCATTGGCCACACAGGACAGCCTGTGAGTCATCTGGAGAGCCCTTGAATGTCTCCTCCTGGAGACCACTACGACCCCTGGCTCACAGGCCCTTCCTGGCTCTTCACTGTCCACTCAGTTGTCCCAGTCTTCCATCCATCACAGATGAGGGATACCATAGAGAACTTTGCAGGCCACAGTGAGCTGGTGAACGAGTCCCACATAGAAGTCCCCCCTGCTCCAGAATCCCTGGTGTGGCACTTGTCATGTGAATATTGGTGATGGTAAAGACTCTGTTACAAGGTCACCCCATACCCCCTAACACCGGCTGTCCTTCAATCTCCTGAGGAAGCCAATCGCAGCTGGAACAACACAAGAGTTTTCTGATTGGCTCTTTGTAACATCATATTAGATGCACTACTTGCTGCCCCTGAATCCTGAGGATGGTAATGATTGGCAGGTACGATGTCCCAGGCCCTGGGCCAGGGGCTCCATGGTCTTTAGGACAACACAGCTACTGGGTAATAGGGAGCCACACAAAGGTATGCAGCAGCCAGTCGAAGAGCATTCACAAGAGAAAAAAATACTGAAGTTCAAAGAGGTGTAGTGCTGAACCCCAAATCCCACAGTGGCAAAAGTTAGCGTGAGCCCAGATTCCCTAACTTCTCAGTCAATCCCCCAGCTACCTGTTCATGCTTTGCAAAAATGAGGTAAGAGACAGTGGAGGCCAGAGAGTGACTGACTGGGAATCCCTGACTTCACAAGCCACCTGTTGCCAAAGGATGGCTCCTTCAGACCCCAACTTCTAGAATACACTGGCCAGGTAAACACCTGAGTCCAGAGATGTTTGCATACAACTTTCATGTAGTCAAGGCACAATCTCCAGGGGTACAGAGCCAGCAGCCTCACAGGCAGCTCATCCAAAGAACTTCATCAACTCTTGGAGTGAAGCTTTGTGACCCTGTATCCATGGTATATCCATGGCAACAAGGCTCCATCCCCAGCTGGAACCACCACTTGAATGCAGAAACCAACTGGGGTGAAGACTCTACAGTATGCACCAGCAAATGATGGGGCCATTCCCTTCCCTCATGGAGAGCTCTACAGTGTGGGCCAGCAAACGATGGGGCCGGTCCCCTCCATCATGGAGAGCTCTACAGTGTGGGCCAGCAAACGATGGGGCCGGTCCCCTCCATCATGGAGAGCTCTACAGTGTGGGCCAGCAAACGATGGGGCCGGTCCCCTCCATCATGGAGAGCTCTACAGTGTGGGCCAGCAAACAATGGTGACTGCTGCACCTACGATACATATGACCCTTGAGAAAACACATGGAAGTGTTGCTGGCCTCTAGAATGCCACATTGCTAGAGATTCTACCCAAATGTCCACCCTTGAATGGAACTTCAGCTACCTCAGTGTGGATTCCCTACATATTGCCAA